AAAATAAATCAAAGTATATAATAAATATTATCTTCACTCTACAATATATTTTAATATGCCCAAAAAGCAGTAAGCAAAGTTCGCGGAGATATGATCATTACTGCATAGTGAAATATGGACATACTATCAAAGCGAAAGATAGCTTTGCAGATTAGCGTTAGTGAAACGTTGTGTTCCCAAAAAATGCTTTAAAGTGTATAAATAAGTTACCTGGCAATGGCGAATGTCCTCTATCGTTTATGAGGTCTGAAGTTCGGTATATTTTTTTATGGCTTAGCTCATCATATGTGCATATTTGTTACATGATGAGCTAAAAAACATACCAGCTCAGCACCAATATATATATATATATATATATTTGGATTCGAACTAGTTTGCAAATTTCAGACCAGACCCAGACCGGACTCCTAATTAAGTTTGAGTCTGGTCTGAAGTTCGAAACTAGTAAAATCTAGAGTCTGAGTCTGGTTCGATCCCAGACCGGACCCGGACCGGACCCGAACCCGAACCAGACCTTTGAGCACTAATTGCAATGATCACTTGCTTCACTCAATAACTACATAATTGTGGTTATACGGCTATCAATTTTTATTCACAATAAGCACTTATGTTGTTATTTATTATTATTTTTTCTTTACATGTAAAGAGAATTGTTACATAGTCTTTATCGTGGGACAAATAACAAGCAGCTTGTTGGGTTTGTTGGTCTTGAATTGGTAAGGCACAGTAAATTCGATAGAATAATCATCTAAAGCTGAGCGGACGTTTCCATTTTAGTAAATGTCATCCCAATTTGTAATTTGGTTGACATAATGAAAATATTTACAGTCAAAGATAATTTTAATTAGAAAATTGAGACGAAAGAAGTTAGAAAATCAAGAAGAAAGAAATTTACTAATAGATATGTGCCTTGTATTTTATACTCATATATTGAATATATGATTATTAATTTACATTAGTAACGATGACATTTCTTATGCGCTTGAAGTAAAATTTAAATCATGAGATCGTGCTTAAGCCACAATGAGCACTGATTCGTATGACACAAAATTACTTGGGCCCGTATTTGTAATACTTTCAAAAAATTGGGCCCTTATAAATAAATATTTTTAAGTTGGGCCCTCATTCATAATTATTTTCAAATTTGGGCCCCGATGTGTAATTTCCCCTTAACTTTAATATAAAAATCTGCGGAAGTAATACGTATAAAAGCCTTTCCATAAGTGTATATGTCATACTGCCAGATAAACTAGTTATCTGGCAGATATACGGATCATGGACATCGATAGTATAATTGCAACGCACGAGGCCTTCGGCCACATGCTTTTGCTATTATTCTACCGATACCCATGTATCCGTCAAATCATGCCAGATAACAAGAAATTAACATATACGAGAGAATAAAAAGTTATATGATAAATGACACTTCCCTTAGCTAATGATTCATTTCAAAAGCAAGTTTACATTAGGTCCTATCTTATTCAAAATAAATAATTTTGAAATCTCATAATTATAAATTAACGAATGTGAGGGTCACAGTATTTTAATTCTTTCTCTTTAGTGCGATATGTATTAAAGTGATACAATAACACCTTTAATTAGATTTAATTCTAATTACTCGTTGAGAATATAAGCAACAAATATAGGCGATAAATATAACCAAAAATAGATTAGATTATATGATATAATAGATTTTAGTAATAACAATTTGTTTTGGTTTAAGTAATATTTTACGAAATCTATCCCATATACCATTTCAACGTAGTGTTTTTTAAAAGTGCATCGGCTAATGCTTTTTCTCCTTCTGATCCAAGTTCATTACAATAAACATCCAAAGAAGTCAAAGTGGTGTTCTTGCAAAGTGCATTAGCTAATGCTTTTCCTCCTTCTGATCCAATACCATTTTCATAAAGATCAAGACAGGTCAATGTAGTGTTCTTGCAAAGTGCATCTGCTAATGCTATTCCTCCTTCTGATACAATATCATTCCTACCAAGATCCAGAGAAGTCAATGCGGTATTCTTGCAAAGCGCAGCAGCAAATGCTTTTCCTCCTTCTGAGCCAAACTCATTTAAACTGATATTCAAAGAAATTAAGGTAGTGTTCTTGCGAAGTGCATCTGCTAGTGCTTTTCCCCCTTCTAATCCAAGATTATTATTTTCAAGATTTAAATAAGTCAGCGTAGTATTCTTGCAAAGTGCACTTGCTAATATTTTTCCACATTCAAATCCAAGTTTATTATTTTGAAGATTCAAATCTTTCAGCATGGAGTTCTTGCAAAGTGCTTCTACTAATTCCTTGCCTCCTTCTGATCCTAGATTATTGCTGTAAAGCACCAAAGAAGTCAGCGTGGAGTTCTTACAAAGTGTATCTGCTAATGCTTTTCCTCCTTCTGATCCAAGGTAATTCTCACCAAGATTCAACGAAGTGTTCTTGCAAAGCGCATCAGCTAACGCCTTCCCCCTTTTGATCCAATATTATTATAACAAATATTCAAATATTTTAGGGCATTATTCTTGCAAAGAATCTTTGCTAGCTCCTTACCCTCTTCAACACCAATCCGATTATAACTAAGATTTAAAGAATTTATGGTAGAATTTTGATAAAGAGCCTTTAATAAAGTTTTTACTCCTTCAGATCCAAGGTAATTAAATTCAAGATTCAAGGAAGTCAAAGTATAATTCTTATAAAGGATATTTGCTAATGCATCCATTGCCTTAAATTTAAAATCTCCATTGATATTATTTAAATGCATAGAGGTAATAGTAGTGTTCTCAAAGATTTTCAAAAATTTTTTGGTTGCAAATAAGTTCATTAAGGCTTAAATATTTAAGATTCTTACTAGTTCGTAAAAACATTGCGATCAAAGAACATCTAATGGCATTTTCAAGAGCATGTTCTATCTTATAAGGAAACCATTTTCTAATTCCAACATACAAATCATCGCTAACGGAAGTTATATAACTTGTGTATTCAAATAGTGGTTTTGGATGACTCGGAAGGGTGATTTTAAATGGAATTAATAGAGATTGCTCTTCTGCATTTAACATTAAAAGAAATGTTCTTATAAGCTTTAATTTTTTAAAATAATGTTTTGGTTCTCTCCACAATATTGGTATAATAATTCTACACCATTGACGGCTACAAGTGCACATGAAAATAGATATTTATTATTATGCCGGATGTTGTTTAATATTTTATAGTAGCATTCATTCGGTAATGATATCATTTTGAAAAATTTTTTACGTACGTACGTAAGTGCGTACAATAAATACTAATGTTGCGGGTGTATTATTCCAAATGTCCCACAACGTTTTATTAACGTTTCAAAATTACACAAATGTGGAATTGATGATCATTGATAATTTCGTGCATGTTATTATAAAAATTTCTGTTACGAGACTTGCAGTAACTACAGTACTGTATGTAGTTAAGTTGGGCTAGTTTGTATTGAGATTAACTAAGACTTCTATCATGAGATACAGTAAAAAATTTTATTACGAAGCATACCTACCTTACTGAATCTTTCATTTTTTTAAAATAGATTTATTAATATAAATTTAAAAATTTATATAATAATTATATTTTAAACATATTTTAAATATTTTTAACTACATATTTTTTTTTTGTATAATTAAAATATAGCAATATAATTCTTTTTATCACTGCCAATTTTTAATGCGAGTCAAAACTTTAAGTATATTCAATATTCTTATGCAAATTTATAATTTGCACACCACTAGCTAATCCACATAAACACCACCTATTCCGATATAGATAATATAAACTACACTACTTTTTCCTAAGGCCACGCAAATTTAATTTATTGGTTCTCACAACATGAAGCTTTTTAAATAGACCCGGCCAGCCGGCTTTTTTTTTTAAATTATATATATAACAATTTATAAAATTTTTTTTTGCAGCTATTTTCACAATTCCTGGAACATCTGATAAAAACTGACCGTATGATTTTTCAGCCGATTCGATTAAGTTTGTGATTTCGGCATAATAGATTCAATAAAATCCATATATATACGTAAGTACTAATATTAATATTAAATATTATTTCTGGTAGAATATAGAAATATGATATTTTCAAAGCATCTTCGCTGGAAAATATTTTAAACCAGCTTTTAGAGGTCTATCATTACCAAACACTTAGGTTTAGCATATCTTTTACAAGTCGGGTTCTTAAGCACTTTCAAAAATATGAATGTATTTAAAAGCTTCCGTCATTTTCAGAACCACATTCACTGAACATGAATGATACAAAATATTTTAAAACTTTAATGAAAAATGATATGGATCACAATAGTGATTGGCGCCGTAATCATGTGATGCTAATTGTCACACGATACAATATATAAAAATCAACAATTAGATTGTTGATTTTTATATATTTTACCACGTGACAATTAGCATCACATGATTACGGCGCCAATCACTAGATCACAATCCGAGATGGAACTCTGGTTAGACGTTATGACAATTTGAGTGGCTACGAACCAACTTGTAATATTTATTTATATACAGGCTCTTCTTTCAACATGTACTTCGTGCAATATGTTTATTATTAAAGTCTAATTAATATGTAGTGCATTTTTTATATTACTTGTTAAGACTTAATTGGCGCATTAAACATGCTGAATAAGCATTCGAACGAAAGTTTAATAATGTAGACATTATTATTACAACGGTCTGTAGAACAGTCATTATGAAGCAAAAGTGGTTTTTATTATATGAATCGTGTCGAAATTACAAACTTAATCGAATTGACTGAAAAATCATTCGGCCAATTTTTATCAGGAATTATGAAAATAGCTGTAAAACATATAAAAAAATTTTTTACAAAAATTTCAAAATCTGACACGAGAACCAATTAATTAAATTTGCATGGCCTAACTAAAATAACTATGTATCGTATAAACAACTCCCTCAGTAATGCCCTTTATCCTTGTTAATCAATAAAAATAAATATAATAATCCGAGTTAGATACATTTTAATTAACTGTGATATTCATATTACCAAAGATACCGATAATCTTATTATTATACTGAGATAACTCTTTACCCATTTCGAGCAAAGTTTGCCCTTTTTTATTTTTGGTCATTCTAAACCATTTTTGAACGTAATTACTATCATAATCATTATTAATTGCCTTGAGACTGGCTTCGCATTCAGGTATGCTTCTTGTGTATGAGTCGCAAGATTCGATAATACGTTTTGATATTGCTTTAACTTTAATATAGTGCTTTTTGATTTTATCATGTTCATGATGCTCAACAAGTGTAGATAAATCTCCTTCCATCACCTTAAAAAATCCCGAGATTTCCGTCATAGCAACAATATATTCTTGAATGGAACTAATTAAATAATCATTAATACAACTAGCCGCTGCGGCTGCAATAAATGATTCTTCCTTCCTTGCAATTGATTTCTTTTTCCATTCATTTGCTAGGTAACCAATTGCTGGTGAAGCAATCAAATTAACATAAGGAATCATAGCTAAACCAATAGCAACGCCAGCTGCTACATCATGTTTGTGTTTAAGTTTAACTCTTTCTGTTTCAAACTCTTTACATTTTAATTTTAATATTTTGCAAACTTCAAGAGCATCACTTTGTGTTTTAAAAAAATCAGTGAGAAGATTTTGATGAAGTTCCAAGGTATATTGACACAATTTTCCATACTGTTCTGCATCACTTTTTTTGTCATCAAGATATTCTTCAAACTCCTCAAGAGTAAAATCAATGTAGTCTTCAAGAAATGATTTTATATTTCGAATAACCAATCCAGAAAAAGGCATGACATAATTACAGTATATCTTCGCTGTTGTAGTGACCGAACGACGAAGTTTGGTAAATTCTTCTACAGATGAGGCATTTTCAGTATAACAACTGAGGAGAGAAACGCTAGCTATTCTTATCGAATTTACAGCTTTATTAATATCTCCTTCGATTTTTTCAAGCGCTTGATCCATGCTGATTTGTTTGTTTTCATTATTGTTGTCTAGTGAAACCTCCATAATATTGTTACTTTGAGATATTGCAAAGTTTTTAAAATTAAAAAAAGGTCGAATAAATTTTACACTTTTATATAGTTAAATGCGTAGTATTAAAGGAATTAGATATTGCAAAGCTTTTTAAATTTAAAAAAAGGTCGAATAAATTTTACACCTTTATATAATAAAATGCGTGGTATTAAAGGAATTCGAAATGAATTAAGATTTCTAATTATATAAAATCGCGTGTTTATTTGTAATAGAAATTTTGTACAAGTATCGACAATAACGTTTTTCTAATCAGTAAACAAATACTGTATGGATTGTTTAGAATGCGTAATACATGATCAACAATTAGGTTGGTTGACTAGTTAAAAATAAGTGTAAAGGTATAATACGCGTGTACAGAAAGAAATTTAAAAACCTCAATATTTCTTTGTAGAGATGATGCATAAAATAGTAGCACATCGAAACAAATTTCCCAAATTATCGATCTCAATAAGCGAAGGGCTAGACCTCTCAATTTCTTCGCATAATAACAATTAACAAAGAACAATATTTATGAATAGATGTTAATGTAGATGACAAATTTAGATTATCATAGATGAGTTAACCTTTTTTCTATATAAAGTGATTAAGTTTTTAGATTTACGTAGCACAGGTTTTTCGTTTTTTAATACTGCCATATGCGTCGAGTGCAGGAAGATGCTCTCATGCAAACCCGGGTTACACTCGACGCACAGGGCAACTGTTAAAAAACCTGATCTACGTACGTACGTACGTAGGGTACATAATCGTAATATAACGTATAAACAAGTTACACTTAAAATTATATAATTTCACTGTTTATATTTTGTCTCTATAAGGCGGAGTTGCGGGTTTTGGATTTTGCACCAGCGCAAGAAATATAAAGACTACAATCACTCCTTTTAGATACAAATATGTAGCATAATAAAATCAAATATTTATTTTCAACGCGTTTTAGATTTGCCTACATATGGTGCAGTATTTCCTAAACAATCGACCTCAATAACAGATAAAGTGTAATGTATAATCAAATTTATTAAGATTATTTAATTTCACTGTTTATATTTTGTCTTTATAAGGGGTAGTTGCAGGTTTTGGATTTATTGCGCCAGCGAAGCAATACAAAAACTAATAATCACTCCGCTTTGAAACAAAGAATAAAGAAGTAGCATAAAGAAATTCTAAATTATTATCATAAATAAAGTGTACATACACACACTTTATTGATTCTAATGATTTAGGATATATATGTTTCCAATTTTATTCTTTTAATTTTAAACTTTTCGATATTCAAAAGCAATAATATTATGGAGCATTCACTTATCATAGATCGAGCGCTCTCTAAAATCGAGGGAAACATTAATAAAGCTGTGGAGTCAATAGAAAAAGCTAGTACTACACTCCTTAAATGCCATAATGAAGATGTCTCATCTGTAGAAGATTTTACCAAACTTCGACGTTCAGTAACTACATCAGCGAAGATATACTGTAATTATGTCATGCCTTTTTCTGGACTAGTTATTCAAAATATGAAATTATTTCTCGATGACTACACAAATTTTTCTCTTGAGGAATTTGAAAAGCATATTTATGACAAAAAAGATAAAGCTGAACAGTATGGAAAAGTGTGTAATTTTACTCTGGATCTTCATCAAAATCTTCTTACTGATTTTATTAAAACACACAATATGGCGATTGAAGCTTACAACACATTAAAATTAAAATGTGAAGAACTTAAAGAAGAAAAGGATAAGCTTAAGCGTAAACATGATATAGCAGCTGGCTTTGCTATTGGTTTGGCTTTAATTCCTTATGTTAATTTGGTTGCTTCACCATTGGCTGGTTACAAGGCACATAAATATAAAAAGAAAGCAATCGATAAGAAAGAGGAATCTTTTCTTGCAGCTGAAGCGGCCCAAGGTATTAAAGATTATTTAATGGATTCCATTCACAATTATATTGCTGCTATGAAGGAGATTTCAGGATTTTTCAAAGTAATAGAAGCAGATTTATGCTCACTTGTTGAGCATCATGAACATGATAAAATCAAAAAGCACTATCTTAAAGTTAAAGCAATATCAAGCCGTATTAGCAAATCTTGCGACTCATACACAAGAAGTATACCTGAATGCGAGGCCAGTCTACAAGCAATTAATAATGGTTATGATAAAAATTACGTTCAAGAATGGATTAGAATGGCAAAAAATAAAAAAGGGCAAAATTTGCTTGGAATGGGTAAAAAGTTATCTCAACATAATGATAAGTTAGTTGATATTTTTAATAATATGGGTATCACGTTTATTTAGAAGTGTATTTTATCCGGTTATTTATTGTTTATTTTTATTTGTTGTTAGCAATCATACTTTTAATCCAACTAGCTTAGTTCGTGTATTTCACTCTTTTAAAAATTTTTATATCTGGTTAATAAAAAATTAGTAAGTGTGTTAAACCATCAAAACAAGCCATATCATTACAGTTAAAAATAATCAAAGTTATATAAAATATTTACAAATCATTGTCATAAGTTCCATAGTCGTATGACTACTTGTTGTAGTTGTTTGACAAAATGGGGTATGTGCGTATAGTTATACATGGGTGTGCCTAAATTGCCCACCTTAATAAAAAGTAATTACGATTATATAGAGCCGAATTTAATTTTCATATTTGCCGAAATTTTTGCCGAACTCTTTTCATCAAAACACATCATATAAAATAGTTATATCGAAGGGTTTCATATAAAAATATTGCAATGCTGAAATGTTTGCCGAAAATACGATTTTTTAAAAATAATTTAGGCACCCATGTATACGTATAGTAAGGTAATATTAATATTTGTCTATATCTAGTACAATACCACCATAGGTGTGGTTTGCGTGTATAAATTTAGCAAATCATAAGGTTTCTGCAAAGTATATTTACTGTAAAAATTTTATCTAATTTGGATCAGAAAATCATAGCTGGATATTAACATAAATTTGTAATTTTTAAAATTTTTTACAATAATACGTATTTAAATTTATATTGACTTCTGGTTGTAATTTTCTCATCATGTAGATAATCACATTCATTACATTTTTTGTTTACAAGAAAGTTTGAAATGCTATGCATAATTTTGAGAGGTTGTAGAAAAACTTTCAATAGGCACATAAACATTAATTTTTAAAGGCTAGAAAAAAATGTTTGCTTTTATTTTATTTTCTCTTATAAATTAATGATATTATAAATGTATTTTCAGAATTCATTTGAATATCTTCTACAACATAGATCTCCCGGCGCAATACTTCGTTTATATTTCAATAATGCATTAATACTGGCAATTTGATTAAATATCTTCCGCACTAAAAACAATGTATATCGCATGAATGATGCCTATATAAATATACAATAAAAATTGAGTATTAATACAGTAAAACGTATATGTTATCATTATTTCAAATTATCATTAATATATATACCGGGTATAAAACCACAGAGATATAATAAAATATTTATCAAGAGTTCTTTTCCACATCCCTTTTTTGAATAAACTATGACTGGGGGAAGAAGGATTGCGATAATAATTTCGAGAAATATAGTGCAGCAGGAGCGCATTTGGTTTAATTCAAATGAAAAATATACGTAATAGTTGAAATTAAGTATTCGATAGCAATGAACGATGCAAGAAGTCAAAACTACAATCGCTTCTTATAAAGATTACGGTACCTGCTAATTGAGGATGTTAATAGGTGACATTTTAATGCATACATGTTATTTTCAGGCAGTACAAGTTTTGAAATAACGTTCAATACGATATATTAACAGAAATAAATTTATTTATTACCCAGGTAACTATTCATCCTCTTTAAGATGTAAATTTACCAAGGAACATTTTTGTTAGTAGCACAACAGGATTTCCCAAATAAGTATATGAGCGCTGCAAAGGGAAAAATATTTTTTGTATGTACGTACTATTATGGTGATAAATTTCCATAGACGGCTAATTGTACACAAAATATATTAAAAGTGATCGGCCTTTTCCTTTGTATTACTTGCGCTGGCGCAATAAATCCTTATAAAGACAAAATATTAACAGTGAAATTAAATAATATTAATAACGATAAAACTTGATTATACATTAAATTATACTTTATCTGTTATTGAAGTTGATTTTTTAGGAAATACTGTACTCTACGTAGGTAAATCTTAAAACTCAAATCTTTATATAGAATAAAGGCTAATTAACGCATTGAAAATAAATATTTGATTTCGTTATGCTACTTCTTTATACTTTGTCTCAAAAGAGAGTGATTGTACTTTTATATTCCTTGTGCCGGCGCAAGGAATCCAAAACTAAAATTACTCCTTAACTTGATTATACGTTACATTCCATTTATCTGTTGTTGAGGGCGATTGTTTAGGTAGTATGTACCCTACGTAGGTAAATCCAAAAAAACTCATTCATTTTATATTGAATAAAGGTTAACTAACTCATTGAAGACAAATTTTTGTTTTTATTATGCTACTATTTATACTTTGTCTCAAAAAGGAGTGATTGTAATTTTTATATTTCTTGCGCTAGCGCAAGAAGTCCAATAACTACAACTACGCTTTATAGAGGCAAAATATAAACAGTGATGTTAAGCTTGTACATTAATTACACTTTATCTATAATTGAGATCGATTATTTAGAAATACTTTATTTTCGATGTGCAGTGAGCTATGCGAAATATAATATAGATAGTTCTATAGCAAATATTTGTTACTGCTTATTGCAGTAGATGCATTAGTGTAAATTAAACTTTTGGATGAAACTACAGTTTTTGTCAACCAAATTCGTATAATAATCAATAAAGTTTGTATAATTACCAATCAAGTTCGTTAAATACCAATCAATTTCGTGTTTCAATCAAATTAGTATATTTTGATCAAACTTTGATAACCGATCCAATCTTGATAAGTTTGATTGGATCACTAGATCGTGAGTTATCAAAGATTGATCAAAATATACTAAATTTAATTGAAACACGAATTTGATTGGTATTTTTACGAATTTGATTGGTATTTATACGAATTTGACTGATTATTATACGAATTTGGTCGACAAAACCTGTAACAAATTCAGGCATTCTTAGATGAACACTTAGAATTTTCACTCTAACACCAGCCCTAACTTTATTAGCTAACCATGAGTTAATTTGTATTAATATTGTTGTAATTCTATTTTGATTTACTGTAAAAAAATTCTATCATATTACAAAACTCAGGAGCTGCCACGTTGACAATACAAAGTTAAGTATTATTGGAATTATATCGTAATTTACCATAAAAATTTGTTACAAGGCTTACGGCTATTGTGGTAATACACAATATGTATTGGAATCATGGTTATGATTAGTGATGTATCCCAAACTGTTTCAGTACTAAATTATGGATACGGCAATTTTTGATCGGGTTTACAATTTTGCTGATATTTAAAAATTACAATATATTAATCATATGGGTGCAACAGGAGGGAACGTTGTTGTTACACAACTGATTTTACACACGGTGTGAAACACATAAAAAAATGATTTTACAATA